CCCCCCGCCCCCGAGTCTTCGGTGGAAAGGAAAAAGAAAAGGTGTGAAGCCTGAAAATGGCATGTTACAATCGATATTTTTGCAAGTGCCTTGTTAAGCATGAATTATAATATGTGATTTTTATTGTTCCTGTTAGCTCTTGTTACTCTCTCCTTGCCCCATCAGGCAATGAACATTTTTAGATATAAATCTGACTTAGGTTACTTACAGGAGAAAGAAAAGGAGGGCAGTTATGCCACACCAAGCTGCTTTGGTTTTAGAGAAATGGTAGTCTAGTTTTAGCCTAAGGACTATTAATGTACGTGCATCTAAAAGTGTTATACTACTCATTGTGGGAAGTTAGGTTATCAGAAACACTGCGGACAATTAGGGAGAAAAGGAACAAAGTATCAAGTATCAGAGCTAGTGATACAATATGTGTGCTGTCACTGTTTTCAGGTGCCTTTAGTGAGGCTGTGAAGTACAAAATACCTTCTTGGCTCCTTAATTATCCTTATGAGAATGCTAACTGGAAAGACTATACTACATTTCTAGAGTATTTTTATAAAGTCTTCATTTAAAATTCAGTTTGAGTAAGATTTTTGTCTAACTACAGTCTTTATTATAAAGTTGTACTTGTAATGCTTTTAAGAACACATTTAACAATATCATGCATTAATTGTTAACTTGCAGAGCCTTCTTGTACAGGGTATTGACTTTCTGCTGTCTTATACACCTTGTTCAATGAGCAGTTTAAGCAATAGAAGAAATGTTTGGTTTTGCTAATGTTTTGAGAGAACTGTTATATGACCTGAGAGGCATGAAATGGTTAACCTGTGGCAAGCCATATTCTATTAGATTACCTATTAAATGCTGTTCTAGTTAGTAATGCATTGTACATATATCCGGAGTATTTTATATAAGTGGAATAAATAGATTTTTTTGGAGCATTTTTATGTAATTGATTGTAGTTATCCATCTTAAGCATTTTTTCCTCTTCTTACCTGCAGTATGGATGGAGCAGATCTGTGTTTTGAAATTGTGAAGAGAGCAGATGCTGGATTTGTGTACAGCGAGGCTGTAGCCAGGTATGTATTATAATTTTAATTAATTCCACGGGATAAATGGAAAAGAATGGAATATACTGTTTTACAATCTGGTAGCTAAAAGTTGGAATACTGTAAATAATCCTGTTTCCACAGTCTGAATGTTTATTACAATAATTAGCATAATAAAAGTAGAATTTTGGAGCATTTTGTCATTTACTAGTTGTATATTTGAGTGGAATTATTGAATAAAATAGTATTTCACATCCAATACTTAATTCTCTGTCTTTTGCCTTTTATGGATTTCTCATATGATGGCATTAGGTGACTTGCCTGACAGGTGTGAGTTTTATTGGTCTTGCTAGATGGAGTTGTCTTTTTTAATATATATATCACTTTATTTATGGTCACTTCAACTTTTCATTTACAAAGTAAACTAAAATCAAAGAGTCTGTATAATTGCAGAAGGACAACAAAACCCAATGTCCTAGTGGCACGATAATTGAGCTCAAAGCCCATGAGATTCTTGGTTTACTTTTCTAGACACTGCAGATTTTTTAGCATCATGGAAGCCAGGTTGGAAGAGACATCAAGAGGTCTCTACTTCAACCTCCTGCTCAAGGCAGGGTCAATGCTGCATTTGGATCATGTTGCTCAAGGCTTTGTCCGGTGGGGTCTAGAAAACCTCCAAGAAGGAGATTCCACAGCCTCCCTGGGCAACTTGATCTAGTGCATAATTATGCTCCTAGGGAAAAAGGAGCATATTTTATTGTTTCCCTATAACAAGCTGGGACCTCCAGAGGGCAAAGATTGCCTCCCTTAACCCGCTAGTAATGCCCTGCCTGATGCAGCACAGGATGCTGTTGGCTTTCTTGGCTTTCTAGTACAGTCAGTAATCTGTTAAGGGATCCTTTGGACACAGGGGAGAAAAAAGTTAGTCTTCAATCTGCATCAAGCAAGCCAAGATCTTGGTTCTATCCCTTTCTAGATAAATCAGGCACTGATACTCACTTTTTTCCTTTCTGTGTTTTGTTATAAAAAAACCTAAAGGGTCCTGACTTCTTGTCATAGAAAGCAGCATTATTGAACATTTGAAACCTTTACAAAACGGAAAATGCAGATTTTTCTTCTCTAATTTTCCTTGGCTCCAATCAGAATAATCCTCAAACTTTAGATTGTATTATTCATTATTATAAACACACACTCCATTCTGCTAAACTCTGTATATTTAAGGTTAAGTTGGTTGATTGGTTTTGTATAGTTTGACTCTTAGAACTTAGTTTGTTATATGTGTATAGTAATTTTTCCTGCAGGTTTGTCATGAATGATGTCTTTGTTTTTTCAGTCATTACATGAGACAGATATTGGAAGCTCTACGTTACTGTCATGATAATAATATAATTCACAGGGATGTGAAGGTAAGGGGTTTTAATTCTTTTTTTTCTTCACCACAGTAATACAAACTACTGAATTTTGATTTCTGTAATTTAGAGGAAAGGGGAAGCTGTAGAAAAGGAAGCTATATTTGCTGAGTGTGTGTTTACTGTTACTGTGTCATCTAAGATTAAAGCCGATCTCTAATTCCATCAATATAGAACATTTAGGAGGTCTTTATTCACAGATTACATATGCATTTGATTGCAACTTACTGTGAAAGTCAGTTTAATTTCTGGTTTTTGAATATTCATATGAAATCTGCTTGCCTTTTTTTTCTTGTTAGGAAAATGTGTGTATAAATTAATTGCATAAATTAAACTGGAATTGGTAGATTAATGGCATCGTTTTGACAGCATAATGACAGTCTTCATCCAAACTAAGATTTCAGGAGATGCACATGCTTAAATGTTGCAATATTTTTTGCAAGCAGTCTTAAACATTTATTATTATGAAAACTTCTCTAATACAAACAAGTTTGGGAGAAGAAATATAGTGTTTAAGAACAGTGTATGTACATACTCTTTTTGATCTGGTGAATTTTGTTCTATGGATATTTACGGAACTAGTTTATCCCAAAGTACTTTAATGTAAGTAATTGGGATTTTTAACCTAAGTGGGTTTGACTCTCTTCAATTTGAACATACAGGTTCTTTGTTAATGTCATTGTCTAAGGTAGTTATTCCTACTTGTCTTCTCTAAGAATTTGCTTTTATCCAAAGCGAGTCAAGCACTATAGGAATTAATGAAAATTCTAACGAGCTCTGATGGTGCAGTTTGAGAAGTGAATCTTGGGGTTTAGTGAATAGAGAAGGTTGAGAGAGGGTAAGCTGCTTCAAACTCCTACAGGTGATCTGTGAGGGAAGAGAGTACGGACACTGAACTGATGATTTTCATTTAAGGAGTCATTGGGTTTTGCATATGCAGGCATTGCAGACCTTTCCCAATGTCTTTTTCCTTTCCTTCTAAAAATCAAGAAAATTATTCCATGTAATAGGCTTTTTTTTTTTTTTAAGTGTGGTATTTTAAAAATCATTTCTTACAGTAAATTCTAAAGACAGCCTCTTAATTGCTGGTAGAATGTCTCATCTTGTTCTGTTTTGAAGGTTCTAGATTATTTTAATTGTTCATTTTTGGTACCACATGGGAATTTCAGAATTAATCATCTTTATGTTGCTGTGTCTTCCTGAAAGCTGCTTTTTTTTTTTTTTTTTTTTTTTGGACCATGTTCTTGAACGAAAACAAATTTCAGTTTCAAGGGCCTCTGAGGGAGGCCCATCTTACTGAGTGTAAAATGGGAATTTGTTTTGCAGTTTATCCAGACTCTGAAAACTTTAAAATCACTGTTTTTATTAAATACCATCCTTAGAAATAAACCTGTTCAATTACATGAGTGAGTAAGAATTTTTAATGTATCAGTCTAAAGTAGTGTAAATCAACAGACAGTGTTTCATCTTGGCAAAAGCAGTGCAGAAATATAACTATGGGGTTTAGGTGTAGAACATATTAAGCTAACTGCAATATCCCAGCTCTAGATGTCACTGTAGTCATTGTTTAGAAAGGAAGTGGACTAAGCGACCAATTTCCGAATTATCTGAATGGATGAAAGTGAATTAATAAAAATATGTGAGGTTGATATAGTCATACTGCTTTTTTTCCCTCTCAAGCTTTCTGTGAACGTTATTTTGGACAGCAAAATGTTTGAACGTTATCTGATGCACAGGAAAATTTGCACCTTATTCTTCCCTGTAAGAATTAGGTGTCTTTTAGCCACTTTTGTGATCCTTTAGCTCTTGACTGATTAGGAAGAGTTAGACAGGAATACTTCAGTTTGCTGTAGTCTAGTGCCAGAAACTTCACCTGACTTGTGTAAGTGAGAAGATGTACAAAAGCTTCTGGAGCACTACAACTGCAGCCTGTGATAAACTCTTGTATGCTCCAGATTCAAGTCTGATGACAGAATCAAAACATGAAAACTTTCACAAGAGGCCTGTAGTTGCCATAATTTCCTTCACTGCTCTGTGAGACCAGACGTTTCTTGAGCCTCTGTATGTCATTTGACCCCCTCCAACATTGCTTAAAGGCTTTATAATCAGTGACAATTGCACCTTTGTTTCACCTTCAGTTAATGTCATCCTGCATTCATTCACTGGCTGGAAGTTGGATTGTATGATAAGGGAAGTAGAAAATGCTAATGCAAGAAGGTGGAAAACTCAAGACAGCTATGCATCAGAAATGTGAATATCAAGAACTTTTCCCTTACTGCAACATTTACTCCTATTCTGCCAACCTAGTGATACAGCACTCAGCCATCCCTTTTATTCTTTCAGAACCTTGCTGTGTCAGAAATACCCAGAAGATGGCTACTGAAAGTAGCAACATTGCAGTGGGGTCTTTTCCAATATAGAATGTTATTACACAGTAGTTCAGTATACAGAATTATCTTTATGTAAGAGAACAAAAAAAGGGAAATGGGAGTAATGTGGGTCTGAAATGAGATGCTTGGTCTTTTTCCATAAAACCCTTACTAGAGTTTGAGTACCATTTGTCACTGAAGTCAGCCACTTTCTCTTGAGCTCTCAGTATTAGACATTAATGAAAGTATTTTGTTAATATAGCCATTAAAAAGTGATAAGTGGGAGAGGACCTTTAAAACAGGACAAAGAAATAGGAGAAAAATGGCTTATCTCTTTCTTCCAAATCTCACTTCACTATATTCTGTCCTGCAAAATAGTGCTTTCTCTTACTTCATCTTCAGGAATAAGAAAGTGACAAATTGGGTTAACTCTGCATTAAAGTAGTTTTTCTCTCAACGTAAATACAACTGAAGATAGTTCCCTTGTATACGATAACACATTTATTACAGACAATAACGTATACCTCGAGATTTTACGGAACTAAAAACGAGTAACCAAAATGTGCTCTATAGCTGTAATCTTCCTTCAAGAAAGAGAAAAATTAATATATGCCGCTGCAACTCTTAACTGCAGAGGATACCACTGATCATTGAACTTCCTTAAGTTCTGTGCTATAGAATTATTTTAATAATTATGATTTTAAAAGCTGAAAGTGGTGGTTTTGTTATAAACAGGTTGAACTTGGATATTTCCAATCCCTATGGCAGGTAATGTGGTGTGGAGTACCTAAAGTAGCATTTTGCATTTAGTGGAGTCACATTTGGTCAGCATTCAGTATTTTGAGTTGTTATATTCTCAGTGTGTGGGAAAAGTTGCTTTATCTTGTCTTGACAGTTTCACTGAGTTACCTGTTAGTAAGAGGATAGACTAACATTGATCTTGGTAGAAGACTGTTGTGCTAGTTACTGAAAGTAGTATGTGATTCAGCTCAAGAAATAGACTGTTTAAGCATTGTATAAGTTATGAAGCAGGACAGTGTTCTATAAAAAGTGCATTTCTTCAGTGTTTATTGCAGATTTTTTCGCCTGTTCATTTTTGCAATAACTTCAACAGAATGTTTTTTTATCCGTAAAACATCAAGAGGTTTTACAATCTTCAGTTAGCCTATATTGTGATGCTTATGTAGCATTTTATATAGTTGTCAAAATCTTGTTATAAAAATACCTTTTAATATAGCTGATACAAGAGTAATTTAATCACATCAAGAGCTTTAGTTGCTGGGGTTTTATCCTTAGTTCACTCCAAATACGCCAACTTTGCTCTATGATTTCTATATAGTTTGAGTGCCTGTATACGTTTCTGTGATCAGTAAAATGATTGGTGTGCAACTGGAGTCAGGGCAAGCTTGTTGGCTAAATGTAGATATCTCAAATTTTTATTATCGGTTTATTTCAGTAGGAATGCTTGTTTCCAGCATGTGATCACCTAAATAGATAAAACTGCTAAAGCAAAAATACACGGATTCTGCTTTCTCTGCTATTAAGATTCAGTTCAATATTTCTGTGACTGGAACAGAAAACACTTTTTCCAGAGAGTAGGACTAAGCATTACGTGCTGTACTGTGTGTCATATACAAATCTCAGTTGGTCCAGGTGACTTGAGACTTGACCTGTGAATACATTTGCATGTGGATTTATGTGCTATGCAGAATTTAATTAACCATATGAATTCTGAGAGCGCACTCAGTTACTACTTCTGTCTTTCATTGCCTAAACTACTTGTAGTGAGGCACTTAAGATTTTGCCAGTAGAGTTCAAGACTCTTATACTTCTGCTTTTAGGTATATCTAGAAAATGAGCAAGGCTTGTACATATGTGTCTGTGTATGTTTATGCAAGTGTGTATTCAACTATATAAAAAATAACCAGAATAGAAGCTGTTCTTTAAGACCGTCTTCTCCTTCCAATCTTTGAATATCCAAAACAAGAAATCTGTTGTGTGTTACTTCCCTTCTACTCTTTTCACCTTGGCATGGAACCTGTTTTATGCTTTCTGGGGACAGTCAGTAACAACTGGTGCTTTTTATGTATTTTCTGGAAGTTATTAGATCCTTGAGATCCAGTAGCAACTGCTTTGTGAGGATTTTGTTACATATTAAATTGTTAAACGGTTATTAAGGTTGCAAAATCAATAGCAGAGGTAGAATTAAGGTGTCCTATCTGGCCATGTTTTTCTGAGGAAAACTTCTTCCTCATTCAAGGCAGAAGTTAAGAGGCTCCAAGAATAAAGCTTTCAGTATTTTTTCCTCAGTGTTTCTTCAGGCGGTACTTCCCCCCCCGCCCCCATTTATGTCCACTCCTGTACATATGCTTCCTATCTCAGAGTCCCCATTTCTTGTTTTGTCGTGCCCTTTTCCTAGTGTACTGTTAGCTGACTGCTGGGTGTTCGGAAGCAGTTTTGCTAAGAAGTATATTTATGCTGCTTGGCCTACTTAGAGCTCAACATCTACATTCAGGAAGTTTACATATTCCAGTCATTTGCTTAGCCAGTCAGAAAACATGTATCTTCTGATCGATAAGCTGGCCACCCATGCAGCACATATGAACGGGTTAACCAGAAAGTAGTCAGACACTTGCAGTCTTTTAAACCGCTTTGCAAAGCATGTGCTGTGCATATTTGCCTTAGGATTTTGTGTTCCCTGCTATGGAAATGAATTATTTTATTTTTTATTATACAATTCACAAGTCATCTGCTAACTTCTGAATTGGCACCAGGATGTCTAAGCAGTGCAAGAAGTTTAGCTCATGAGCTGTGTTTTGCTGAAGTATTTCTGTCTCTCCCTCATGCCTTTCTGTTTTGAGGGATTTTTCCTCCATGAACTTTTCTGTCAAATGCTAGACCAATGTATTACTCAATTTATAGTTTCTCAAATTGCCTGTAAAGCTTTTCCACTATTTAAAACAAGAAAAACTTTGATGCAATTCAAAAATTTAAAGGAGACATCATCTTGAACAGACTACGTAGGAAAAAAGTAAAGTATATTTCATTTTTTTGGTATAATGTAGAAATGGTGGAATGGGATCTTGCTAAGAGTCTATCACAAAGTTATATTTGATTAGTAGTTTCCAAAGTTTCATCCGTTTTCTTGCCTTTTTTATAAGTGCAGCACTGGGGAACACGTGGTTGTGACTAGAAAAGTGGAGAAAGAATGACTTACACCTATGCTACCATCAAAAACTCTGCATTAAGAAAAACATCCACAGGCAGGCACTCTGCTGAGATGTCCTAATAACTGCATTCCCTATAAAATGTCTTTAAGGAAGGACAGAAGTAGTGGGTTCTCAGTTTGGGCCTGTGCATATTATAAGAACAGCAAAGTAAACAGCTTTGCTCCCCCATACTTACAGCTACTGATCTAAAACCAGTCATCTAAGCAGAACTGTGCTGTCTGGAGGACTTAAACTGCTCAATTCAGTTCTGCTGCAGGTACTTGGCCATTGGTTGTGCTGCACAGTCAAACACCCACCTGCACAAACTGGCTTCCCATGCTCAAGGACCTGTGTTTGCAGAGCAACTTTTCTACAGCACGTTGTAGAAGAAGCTGCCCACTTCAGGTTTTTCCATAAGTTGTATGCTAAACATCACATGGGAGTCCTGTGAAAGAAGCAATCACTAAATTCTGTTATCACAGGTAAAATTGTATGTTACCTATTATTTTCTGTCTTTTTCACTCGCATCTTTATTTAACTTCTGCAGAACAGGAAGCAGCTGTCAGATGATATGAATTCTTGGGGTCCCTCCCAGAGAAGACCTAATATTTTGTTTCTGCTGGCACTTGGGTCAGTTTAATGTACCTGTCATGGAACTCAGTTTTGTAGGGTTGGGAAGACAGAATTGCTCACTACATTTTATTGTGAAGTTTTGGGCGAGTGATAGGATTGCTCAGAATAGGTAGTGTTTTCTAGCACTTTTTACACTCAGTAAACTCCTCTTGATCTCAGTTGCAGAGAAGATTGTATAAGGGAAAAGACCATTCTTAAGTGTCTTCTACAGAAATGATTCAAAATAATTGAAATCTCTACTTAAGTCATCGTGATATTCTAACTTCTACAGTTAAAAAAAAAAAAACAACAAAAACAAACAAAAAAAACCCAAGCACAAAACCTCCTGTTTTGCACTGCTCTCATACTGTTAATGATCATTAAAGGTTTATCATTAAATATATTTTGTATACCAGTAAATAATAAGCATTTATGCCTTCCTAATTAAACCATAGAGTTTACCTCACAAGATTAGACGCGGAGTATGGAAATTCCAGTGATTTGTTTTGCTGGGGTTTTTTTTAATCCTAAGTAGTACCAGAGGTTAGAAATAACTGCGTGTATGCATTTCATCCTTTTTTCTTCACTTAATGTTACTGTACATTCAGATATGGTACAATTTTGTAGATCTTTTGTGCTTTATGCACTCTTCTATAAATGGTCTGAATTTAAACATTGTTGTGAAGGAGGTGCCTTCTGGAGCAGCATGTGTTAATCCACTTTTGAAGTGGAATGAGTATGTAGCACTTTTGGGTGAGTACGATATCCTGAGTACACAAAGTCTGCATACCAATAAGGAAGCCACTGCCTCAGCTGTTGAGCGTGACTGCCGTGGATAAGACTGCAAGAAAAATTATTCCAGACCAAGCTACAGAGCATGTATAAAACCCATTTTTCTCAAACACTAAGTAAAATCCTAGGCCACCAGAGTTTTTCTTCATCTGTGGATAGTTCGCCCCTGCAGGTTATCCGTCACCATCAAAACTTTCTCTTCAGAGTCACCGTGTTGCAGATGTAATTTCAGTAACACTGTGGCCATGATAGGAAATGTCAGAGCAGGGTGATAAATTAGTCAAATCTTAAATCTGAGATTTCTGCTACTTCAGTACAAAGCTGTAGTAAAGCTTTTTCTGTGAAGGCTAGAACTAAAAAAGTGCATCATTTCTTAACACAGTTTTTTACTCCTAAAAAACCAGTTACTATAGCAAAACCCTAATATGATGGACATAGCTAAAGTAAACAACGGCATTTTTCAGTAACTTGAGAATAAGATGTCATCAAGAACTCCTCTTTAGGCACTAAAGAGTTCTAGTATCTCATTATGCATTCCCCATTAAAAAAAAAAAAAAAGGAATCAAACTTCTACCCAAATACTCCTGACCAAAAAATAAATGTTAATCTTGAATGTGTTTTATAGCTCTCTGTGCATGCTTCCTTAAGCCTTTGATAGGTGGTTCAGCCATTCCAGAGAAAATGTCTGTGCTTTGGTCAGTCTTTTTTACAAAGGAAACCTGTGTCCAAAACCTGGGACTCGTTTATTGATAATAAAAGAGAACTGGGTTCTCAACTTCAGCCTAGTTTCTGCCTTCTTCCTTGATTATTTAGGTAGAAAACACTGTCCATAGGTCAAATGTAAAATGTCTTTTGCATTGCATGGATAGAGGGGTATTACGCAGTTCAATGTATCAATCACTTGGATTCATTTGGATATACACATCGGATTTATTACGGCTAATGTTGATGTAGCAAGCATGATAATTTAAAAAAAAATACAAGTAGTATGTTATCATTTTATTTAAATATTTACCATTTCATATCAAAGTCTGGTTATAGTTAAAATCAGTTTATTGTTCCTTATATTCTACTAAAATCTTTCCGTATTCCTTCACATTTCGGGAGTCTCTTCGGTGAAAATATCAGCTTTACGTTTGTGGTGTTCTGGTGTGGATTTTGTAAACAGGCCATACAGACTTTTCTTAAATGTTTTATCTAGCAGAAGGGTTATAACTGGATCTAAACTACTCTTAGCAGCAGCAAGACAAGTAAGGAAATTTTTAATTTCCACTAGATAGTTTAACCTTGGGCAGTCGTCATTTGTAAGCAGTACATAAAAAATTGGCCTAAAAATATGATATGGAAGAAAGCAGACAGTTAGTATCATCTGGATGACAAGAATGTTTCTTTTCACTGTTCTGTAAATTAGATGTTTTTCTCCAATACAGGTATTTTTTTGTATTTTACTCAGATGTCTGGTAAGAGAATAGTATGACAACAAAACCGTCATAAAAGATACAAAAAAACATGCAGTGGCAAGAGAAGCTGCAATCATTGTGGTAAATTCACCAGCTTCTACCCTGATGTTGTAGCATCTGTGAAATTCTTCCATAGCCTTTGCCTGAACATTATATGTTATAGCTATTACCGTTATGCAGAGCACAGTGAGCCATATGATGATGCACAAATATTTAGCAAATTTTGGCTGACGAAACTTTTCAAGTACACATCTGTTAAAGTTTTTGTTAACTGCTTGAGAGTATTGTGCATCACTGTTTTTCTTCAGTGTTGCATACTGACTTAGAGCAGTTGAACATAAAATTATAATCGTAACATACATGCTGACGTGCATAATGAGAGTCCCAAGGTGATATGCTATTCTGCATGCTACAGAGTTATAAGTCCATTGGTACCCTCTTGCAAAATACGCAGCCAGAAAAGGCATAGTGCTACATACGAGTAAATTTGCAGTGACAAGGTTTACCACGTAGATGTATTGTGTTCTTTTTGTGGGTGCTTGCCTTGAAAATATCCAGGCAGCAAGAATATTTCCAAAACTTCCAGCAGGAAATAGGAAAGAGTAGATGACTGGTAGGGCTACAGTAGTAGCTAACGATGGCTGAAGAAGACATGTTGAATTTCTCATTTATGCCGGTATTTCTTGAATGAATGTTCAGACCTGAAACACAATTAAAAGAATTATTCTTCTGTAATGTGCATCTAACATCTCTTTTATTTTTCGCTCTTATTTTAACTGTTCCTTTTTCTCCCCTTTTTCAGTGTTACTAACTGCTGTTTGTCCTCTGGGGTTATCATCTTGAGTTTGCGTGAAGTTACTGTTTCAGTGTTCTCTTCCACTGAGATTTTGTGGCTGATGTTAAACCCCAAAGATTTTACATGCATAGAATCTAATAAAATAAATGAGGAAACAGAAGGTTCAAGCTAGGGTCTGACGACAATTTGTGTGGTCTTGGTTTATTTCTCAATCTTCTGGAACATCTGTAACCTACTTTGGAAACCACTTCTAGACTATTTTAAGTTAAATAAGCAAAATAAGTGCAAAGTATTACTTGAATTGCAGAAATGCAGAAGGCTATCCTGTACCTCCATTTAAGTACAAATTAAACTGTATAATGCAGGAATCTGGTTAGATGCATTTATTTTGTGCTGATGTCTGTATCTAATGCTCCTTTGTTCAGAGCTCTAATCTTAGATGTACATTTTGCATAAACAATTCAGTGTGTATTTTTAAACATACAAAATGGTTGTTGAAAACTGCAATATATTTTTTCCAAGTTCAGTTTTCAATCTTTTCTCAATTTCCAGACTGCAAATAAGAAATCAAAGATCTATACAATGACTACATATAAAAACTGACATTTCAGCTTACTAACCTGTAGTGAAGAGAGATTTTCTTGTACGGATACTATTTTAGTGAAGTGTATCCTAGTTAGCTTTTGTTCCATATAAGAGCATATGGAAAAAATTAACAGATTTAAAACTTACAGACTGATAATAATTTTTTTTTTGAAACAGCTGTAAGCAAATGAACTCAGATACCAAAGAGGATTCTGTGTAGCTATGATAAAAAGTCCAGACACCAAGTTGATTAGATAGCAAAAAATTGTAAAAGTAATATTTTAAAATTATGCTGTAGGCCATGTTTGACAACTTGCAAATTAAACTAACTTTCATAGCTGTTGCATTTTAGTGTACACTAAATCCCGCATGGATTGTTGAACTACAATGTATTAAATTCTTTTATTACAATGAGTTAAATTCACAAAGTAATTGTTGAATTCAGTCATTTAGAAGTCTAATGATCGTTTTTGTGTCAATGCCCAAATTTTGTCAGGTGAAACAACAGAATAGTAGTTTTAAGCTTACCTATGCAAGCTGCAGGCACCTTCCTTTGCAGAGAGGAAGTTTTTCTGTCTGATGTCCTTTTTATCTCCACTGCTGCAATGAAAAGGATGATACTTGAATCTGGAAAGTACGGTTAAGGACAATATCTTTCTGACATAAGTAGGTTTTCAGAACGTACACTTTTCTTTTACAGTGTCAAGCGGCTAGGCATTTAAAGTTCAGACAAGATGATATCTGTCCAAAAAAGACTTTGCAGTTAGGTCAGGATGCAGCTCCATTAGAGAAATAAAAAGAATGAGATAGTGTGGAAGAGTGATTGTAACAGTCCTTTGGTCGCGTAGGTATGGCACAGAAACACCTTACAATCCTTTATATAGTGCTTTCCTCTTTTGGGGGGTGGAGGGATTGTTACTGTCATTCTCTTTAGGACTGCCCACTTTCCAGAATGGGGGGGCGGGGGAAAGTTGCTATTTTATGCATGAAAACTTGTATTTTCAATGACATTTAACTGTTCTTCAGCTCCAAAAGCTATCACAAAGCTGACTGTCTATTCCTGAAGCCCACATGCAATAATACTGTATCCATGTCTGTCCTCATATGGGTGACCAAATAAACACCCCTCCTATGTCTAATCAGGTGGTGGATGGTGTGGAAGCAATTTACAGCTGATGCGTTCTAGGCATCAGTTGGGGTAAATCGACTCTGTGTCCAAGAAATACAGTATTTTATACAAATCATCCAGAATTGTGCACAGGACAGTTTCTTTCCTCCACAGGAAAGGTTTGATCACAGATCAGTCAAACTCTGTTTAGCTCTGCAGAGCTTGAGACCTTTGAATTTCCTTCTGTCTGATACATCTGTGGTTGTCAGATACGGCTTTTCAACAGCTATAAGTAAGTTCCTTTATGAGAACAGAGGAGATACCATATAAAAACTTCTGCAATTTTGGTAATGTTCTTGTTTTGTTAGTTTCAATTTATGTTTAAACATACACTGTGAGAATCACCTCAGTGATCTACTATCAATTTTATTGTTCAGTCTCATTCATAATTTTACTTTTTTTTTTTTTTTTACTAAAATGTTAGACATGTATGCTGGCCTCCTATTTAGACTACATAGTTGATCCCATTTAAGATTAAATTTAAGTGAGGGAAACTTGCTGTGAAGTATTAGTAATTAGTTTGTAGTGCTGTAATTAGTTTGCATGTACTTTAATTCTTGCTCCTGTTAGATTTAGTTATACCTTGTTTTTATTTTTTTGACTTTTGAATGTATTAAAATTTGTTCTAACAGAAAGAGTCTTGTATTAGTTAAATATTTAATAGTCTCTTAAGTAGTCTTAGAAGTCCTTGTTACTGTGGTGTTCCATCCAGGTTTAGATACAAGAATGCATATCCTGAAAATTTGCTAAGAGGAGACATGCCAAAAAATGGTGTGAGCAATTCCAGTTAGCAGGGGTTTTTCTAATTATTATTATTCGGTTGGTTATTAACTGTAGCCTGTAGTGCTTATAATTCAATGACCATAACTCTTGCTGTAGGAAGAGATAATGCTACATTTTTTTCTGAATTATTGTATGATAATAGATTATTATAGTGAATTACAGTCTCTCAGACTTCATTTTGAAATTGATTGGTGAGATGAGTAACAAAGAAATGGGATATTATAAGTTTAAAAAAAAAAAAAAACACCCCAAAAAATTACAGTTACAGCTGGTTCTAAGCTGTAGTAAGCACCTTCATTATTCTTTTTGTGTACTATTTCCATTCACCTAGCTTATAAGTGCATATTTTATCTAAAATATATTTGATGATATTCAAATGGTACAAGGGCATCTTTTATGCGATTCACTCTTAAGTTCTTCATAATGACCTTCATGTGCATTCTTCACCTCAATTATTTATATTTTCTGTACTCTTAAACCATGCTCACTTTCTAATTTATACATCTTACTAGAGTTTATATGCCGGTAAGCAGCATATGTTGCATTTTGCCATTGTATGCAGACAATTTATTTTGTGGTCCAAAAGCACAAAACCAGGGAAAATTCCCTGTGGTGAAAGATACTTCAGTCAACCATTTATAATTCATACCTAGCATGTTATGTAATATAATCCTATATGACAGAGTGATCCAGTTGGAGGCTGCCTGGCCACTTCCTCTCCCCTCCACCTGCTTGAGAAGATAGAAGACAGCCCAGTCAAACTCGTATCTCCTTGTGCCTGTCACAAACCAAATGGAGAACTGGACTGTTCCTGCTGTACAACAGAGTATATAATGTGTTGGCAGCAGTTGCTCCTTGTAGGATGGAAGAAGGCAGCAGCTCAGTTACCTCTGGCTCGTGTAGCAGTCCTGGCTCTCTCTGTGCTGTGGAAGGCCCAAGAGATGCACTCAGTCTCTGCATGTTGAAGGATGGAAGGCAACTGCTGAGGATAGGGCACAGAAAAGTGTGCAACTCTGGGTATGGCTACTGAGGATGAATAATACTGAATAAATGTATAGCATGCATCAAATGTGCAGCAGCCTTTAACTTGAGATTTAATTTCATGTACTTGGAATTTGATCTACTGTATGGCATTTAATACCAAGATAAGTCTCTAAGATGCACTGGCTACTACACAAGTGCAATCCCTATTTGCTTTCAAAAAAAAATTATTTACCAAGTAGCTTGCCTAAAACTTTGACTTTTGGTGCTTGGTTTTGTTGGGGATTTTTTTCCGTAAACATTAAAATTGAGATTTTTTTTGACTGGATAAACTCTTAAGACAGACACACTACGCGATAACCATTTTCAGTTGGATATCTGTATCAGGAGAGTTGTTGCAGAGCACCATGGTTCTTCTCTGCCTGCTTATCAGCTTTCTGTGCAGGGGTGACCCAGTGTGTGCGCAGCTCTTCTCCTGACTTGACATAATGAGGATTTTAGCTATAGTCAGTGTATGTATTTAATATTGTAAGAAGTGCTCATCAAAGCAAAATCATCTAAGCTCATGTTTAAATCTCCTGCAGTTGAGTCGAGCACTATGCTGAATCAGTGAAGATAAAATATTTGGCAGGTTTGAGCTGGGTCTGTGTTTGCTGTTCACTGATGATTTCTTTTCAGCAGTTTTAGAACTGCCCTTGTGGTTCAGCAAAATAGACCCAGAATGAAAGTTCTTGTGTTGTTTGATGAATTACAAGTGTATGCAGTATAACTCTGTGGCATCCTTAGACATATAGAAATGGGGATATATTGCACTCATAGGTTCAATTCTTTGGTTGTCATAAAATATGCAAAGTTAAGTGTTTCACAGGCTCCAGGTAGTTGTTTTACATAGGCAAAACACAAGCCAAACAATGTCTTTTAGGCAGGAAAACTTAGCTTGAAGTTGACAGCACTAACAAAAACAATTTTCCAACATTTTTATACTTCAGGTCTTTAATGCAAAATACTTTGTATTTTTTCCCCAATGATGTTCTTTGTGCAGCTCCCAGAGGTCTCTTTAACTGTATTTGCTTCCAAAAAAACCAGTGGCTGTGTATTGGTTGTGGTGATTTTTACTTTTAACTTCAAGAATCAGTTTTTAACGTGAAAACTGTATTGATCATCATAGTCAAATAGGAAGCTTTCTCTGTGTTTTTCTGCATCATACTATAATTTATGGGGTTTTAAGTTAAATATGTTTGTGTATAACAGCTTTTTGGCCTTTCCAGGTTCTTCTTAAGCTTCTGTGAAAACATAAAATTAATAAAACAAAATTAAAACCTAAACCATGGCAGTAAAAGCAAAACTGATACTTA